TTCCTTTTAACATATAAAGAAACAAAGTGTTGTTTATAATCTTCATCCAATCCTCTCTTCCTCTACATCATGTAAAGAAAAGCGACAAAAAGAAAAAAAAAACAAAATAAATAAGTATAATTTTTGTAAATTAATAGATTTTGTCTATCTATTACATATAGCAAGAAATATGAAATAAATAATTTTATATGAGTTTCTAATATTACCAAGGATGAACGTCAAGCAATAGTAGCTTTGAGGGAAAGTTCAAGGGTCTCTGCAATAAGTAATGAAATTTTACTTCCCAAATAATATTTTTTAAAAAATATTCTAATATGAAGAGATGTAAATAGCACAATGTCACCTGTGAAAAAGCAGATATGAACTTATTTAAAGCATCTTTCAATTCTAAAATTGTGGACTCCAAGTCAGGTTCAGCTACGTTAGGTCGGGTTAAGTTGAGTTGGGTCTATGTTTAAGTTGGTTTGAATACGTTGGGTTAGGTGAAATTAGGTTCAGCTAGGTTGGGTTCAAGTTTGGGCAGATTGGATCTGGTTTCGTACTGCAAGTTGAGGCGGAGGGAGTGTGGCTCAGGTCTGTTTTTCTGCTTTAAAAAAAAAAAAAAGCAGTGGCTATAAGGTTTAAAGGTGGGTTTGGGACTAGTTTGGCATCAGTTTTCGTTCTGCTGAGTAGATAAGAGGGTTTAAGGAGTTGGGTTTGGGCTTGTTTCGCACTAGTTTTCTGCTGCAAATTACAACAGCGGCGTGGGTTACCGGAAGCGATGTTTGAGTCTGGTTTCGACTGAAATAAGAAATTAGATAGGAGGGTTTAAGGAGGTGGGTTTGGGCTGGTTTTATGCCAATTTTCTGCTGCAAATTGCAGCAGCGGCACGGGTTACTGGGATGGGTTCGAGGTTGGTTTTGTACTAGTTTTCTGCTATAAATTGCAGCAGTGGCACAGGTTACTGGGAGCTAGTTTGAAGTTGGTTTCTGCTAAGAGAAATTCAGCAGATAGACGGGTTAAGGAAGGTGAGTTTGGAGTTGTTTCTTGCCGATTTTCTGCTGCAAATTGCAGGGATGGCGCAGGTTTCCGAGAGCGGATTCAGATCCAAAAACTTGCTGCAAAAATACAGCAGGTGGACGGGTTGAAGAAAGTGGGCTCGGGGCTGGTTTCACACCAGTTTTTTTTGTTGCAAATTGCAGCAATGGTATAGGTCACGGCCAATGGTTTCGGCTTTGGGGCTGGCTTTCAGCTCTTAGATGGGTTGATGATGATGGTTTCAAGGCTGGTGTTCTGCTGCAAAAATACAACAGATGGAAGGGTTCAAAGGGTGAGGTTTTGTGCCAGTGGTATGGGTCAAGGTTGATAGTTTCAGAGCTGATTTTGTGCCAGTTTTCGGTGGTGGGTTGCAGTGGTTACGAGGAGTGGGTTCAGGGGTAAGGTCACCTGCAAAGAAAAAATCACTCCAATGTATGCATTCATTTATCCATTCCACCCCTAATGTCCGAGAGTACCTCCCTCTCATCATTCATCCATTCCAAGACCACCATTCAACATGAAAAACTTAAGACCATATTCATGACAAACTTCATCATAAGACGGTAGGGATGAACTAAAGAGAAGGATTTTACCTGACACTAGAAAATTTGTTTTTAACGCCAACGCTTCTAGATGCCAATAATTTCTGAAAATCATATCAGAATTGTCAAATTTAAGTCAGCCATCTCTGCTATCAAATTAATTTAAATGTTAACTGATACAATAATACTTAGTTTCAAAGAAACGTATAAGGAAACCAATGGCATAATCCAAGGTACCATAATGAAAGTACAAAATGGAAATTAAAAATGCTCTAAATGTTGATTAAAAATATGTTTCTAGCGGCAATTTTCGAACTGGTTATTACTAGAAATATTGATCGTTAGCGACAGTCGGTTAAAACTGTCGCTAAAGATCAATCGTTTGCCCCCATACAAGTCACACACCCCACGCCTCTCCCTCTTCACGATTCGTCTTCTTCCCGCCCTCTCCTCTAACAACCGATTCTCTCTCTCTCTCTCTCTGTTTGATTTAAGAAAGAGCAAAAAAACTGAAGATCTGTAAATGAAGATCGACAGGTAAATCTCTCGATCTCGCACATTGGCATTTGATCCTAATATAGTTCCTAAATGTTTTTAAATGTTTAGATTTTGCTGAAACCTCATCAATAAATAGAAAACCTAGGTTATAAATTGGTAAAATTGCTTGGGACCATTTCTAAGAGTTTGACACTATTTCTACTTGGCCTTTCTCTTTAGAATATCATTTTAATTTTTTTTCACAATTATATTTGTGGTTTTGCATAGTCAATGCATGAATTTAATGAGCTTACATTCGAACAGTAGATTTAGTTTTCTAATAAAAAAGAACACTGGAATGGTTGTGGGTGAATTAAAGTAGCTCTAGATTGGATACTTTTTATTTTTAAGAATTAAACTAGAAATATCCTCCATCTCTCTCAAGGAAATAGCCTGAGTTATAAAAAGCAATAAATCAATGGGAATACTCCACCACACACACACAATTTCCTATATTCTTTAAACTCTTCTAGCCAATGAGTTATAATTGGCAGAGGGGCTCCCGCAGTCGTAGGTCATTCAGGACGAGTGATCCTGACTGACCATCATCCTTAAACTAATTCAATGCCATTCCAAAAACTTTTCAGGGCAGTGCATAGGCTTCTATCCCCACTTAGCTCTTTCTGTCAGCATATGGTAATAAATTTAGTAAGGAAGCATTACAAGCAAGTAATCATAATTAATACTTTTTCTTTGGCTAATTTCACATTCTCCCCTTGTCTACTTATCCAGAGGACTAGTTCAATTTCTATGTAAAAGGCAAAAACAATGTTTCCACTTTCCATCATAAAAGAAATGGTGGAATACAACACCCCTTCTGCTGTGGATGAATGAAAATAAGGTATTGTTATTTCCACTGTTCTTTTATTTTTATTTAGTTTCAGATGTTACCATTTTATTTGCTGTAAAAATATTAAGAGAAGCAGAAAGTTAAGGGACAATATGATTACCCAAAAAATAATATGGTTCTAACTTTTTCCTTTTTTAAGGCTTGATGTCTTTCTAAATTCACTTTCCCTTTAATTATGCATCATCTGTGTTCCCTGTACCATTCTGTGGTCTTCTTGAAAGGATTAATCATCTGGCCTGCACCTTACTTTCTGCTCTTCTTACCAATAAACAAGAGTGTACAGTAAAAGCTTTGCATCTTGCTTTCTGCAATTTCTCTCTCCAAATCAAATTTATGGGTCTTCTTTATTTTGGTGAATCTGAGTCGAACTTGGTTCAGCATTATCATATTATTATTGTTTAGATTATATTTGGACTACATTAAATCTCATTTTCATCATCTCTTAGCATCTTCTTCTTTTCTTTTCTTACTGAGTACAAAGGACCTGTACATGGGTCTGGCCGTCTAGGCCCCTAAAATTTGCCACTTGTCAAATGTTGCAATTGTCAAGGCCCACCAGTGTGAATAGCCCATTTGAAACATTAGTTGTGTCAAAAATCAGCATAATTGACGGAACTATCAAAGAGGGTTTTCTGGTTCTCCACAGTCCACACCCAATCAAATTCAGCCGAATTAAAGGGTCATATGTTTGTTATTTGAATGCTGATTCTTGGCCCAACTGATATTCTAAATATTACCCAACCGACGGTGGGCCCGGAGGCTTGAAATGTAGGAAATATTGCGGGTAATGGGGGCTCAGTCATTAATATGGCTTCTTTGGCCCAGCATATGGTAACACTGTTTCAGTTTCTCTGATGTCATTATATGTAGTTCACATATTCACCATTAACATTAACAAATTTGAAATTACACACTTTTAGTTATTTAAGGAATGGACTACTTCTACAAGATTCTTACTGTTTCAGCCTTTGGATCATATTTTGATGGGAATGAAAGAAAATAAGACAAAAGAAAGGAAAATAAAAATCCTCTCTAGCATGCAGAAAATTCAACAGTCCATTCAAGCTACACAGCCAGCAAATCAACAGTCATTAATATGGCTTCTTTAGCAGCTACAGTGGACATATCATTTGGCTGGTCCCAAATTGGCTAGTTCGTTAGCCGATAGTCTGGCTCAAGTTGGAGCTGGTAGTGTGAGTTACATTGACATTGAGTAGCTGCCATGTTTTTTCTGTTATCGTGTCTTATGGTTTTACTTCTTGTTCTGAGAGTGTTTTCAATCTCATTATCTTGATTGTTGGAATGACCCAGCCACAATCCTGGTTTGAATCAACCTCCAGACCACCATATTACAGAAGCTATTGGTTGAGTCAATGACCCATGGACCTGGACAGTGAACAGTTCACCAAGCTGACCTGTTCAATGGGTCACTAGTTTTAATTATTTTTAATTATAGCGGCAGTCATTATAAGAAAGAATAACTTGATGTACTTTATAACTTGAGATTGTCATCAGTTTCCAAATAACTTTTGTCATCGGTTTTTTTTTTTGGTAGGTTTCACCTTGAGATCTGATGAATTGGTCGTGAAGAAGTACTAAAGGTAGGACAGGCTCCACCTTGAGATTCTCATTATAAGAAAAGCAGTTATTTTTGGTAGGTTTCCAAATAACTTAAAAATCAATCTTAATATTTAGGATTTTTTGGTGGTTGTTTTGTTGTTTTGATTATGTTCAAACTGTTCCTTGTTTTATTTTATTTTTAATGGTTCTACTTATACCATTTTATCCTTTAAGAAGATTTGGTTTTAAATATTATCTAGGACTTTGTTGCTTGATAATAATGTTTTTTTTTAAATATTATCTAGGCTTGGCCTGGCCTTGAACTTCTCTGTCTTTTACTATGAGATATTGAATTCCCCCGAGAGGTACATTGCCTTCTATCAAATTTTATTGTTCTTGTCTTATTGTTGTTTGGTTCTTATTCAGTTGGCTTTGCATTTGATTTCTTTTACTTTTCAGCATTCTCGTTCTCTAATTTTCTTTGCAAATAAATATTTCATTAGTTCACAAGATTGTCCTTCAAAGTCCAATCATGGAACTCATACTATCAACATGTTGCCTTCCATGAATAAGATTGGGTTAATCAACATAAATGAAGCCGTAAGATGATTATCCACCCCACAAAAGAGTGTCCTTAGAAGGATGACAGGAAGTCTTGTATGATCTAGAGACCACCACCTATTTACATAGTTGGATTCACTGTGCGAGTATCTCTTTACAAATAAGGGACTGCACATTAGGAATATACAATCAGAGCAATCAGTTAGTTGTGCTAAGCATTCCTTTCTCTTCATCACTGCTTATCTTCACAACTGTGCTCCTTTGTTTATACAGTTCCTCTTTCACCTGCTTCATAAAACAAGTAGATTTCCTAAATACCTCAATTTAGCAAATTCTCTGGTAGGTTTCAAGTAATGCTATAGAAATTTTGAGGGCATCAAAGTAAGAAATTGAAAAATCAAACTATAAGTCTATAACTAGTCTGTTTAAGATTCAGACTTCAATGAGGTTTCGGCTCAGCCCTGTACAGAGTGTCTAATCTTCAAGTTTTTTAAACTTCCAGAACAGTCAGGTAAAGCAGAAGATTATCTACCAAAGGCATGCCAGTACACATGGTATACATAGCAGGCTGGTCTGAGCAACCATTATATGGTCATTTACAAAGCCTCCACCATTATTTGTATAAAATTCCTGCCCTTATTTGTGATTGACAATGTCCAGAAGAACTTGAAATAGAACTGTTAGAATCATACAATTGAATTAATGTTTGGTATAGAAGAATCACAATGTGCAATGGATACTGCACATTGACTCATAACATTCACACTCACCTGCAAGTTCTCACTTTGTCGCAAGCTCTTGATCACTGAGAAGTTACGGTGTGCTTCACTGGTTGTTCTCAGAAGTGGTCCAAGAAATGGAAGCAAGTTTTGTCAAAACAACAGAACTCATCAATGACACACAGAATCAAATTATATGACTCATAAGCACAATTAAACAAAAGTAAATTGATGAATAGCATCCCATTCAAAAGTGCAAAAATCACTAGGACATACTGCTATGTCCATAAGTCCGAGATTTGATTTTTCCAGTTTGGCCATCTATTTACATAAACAGATGGGGATTTGGATTTTAAAAATTGCATTTGTTTGAATGGATTGGATCAGATCTAACCCTATTTCATCTCATTAAGAACCAAAACTGTGTTTTCTTCTCTTTTGGGACCCAAAAGATCTTGTCTCACAGAAGATTCCTATGTTGTTTAGACTTGATTAAATAACCAAATAAACAGACTAGTTCCTTGTATCTATATGTACATGTACATACACATGTGTATAATAACTGCTTCGACAGTTGCAAAATTGGAAACCAAGGAGTATCAGGCATCAATTGACCATTAAGGAATCAAGACCCATATGCATCAGGAATTCCATTTGGGTTGAATTGCTATCTCCATTGTAGGGGTGGCCATTAGACCTTTATATAGGATGCAGCAGATTCTCGAGTACAACTTTGGCCCAATTTCAGGGATGACCTTAGCCTTAAATATATCAGTCAAAAATTCCAAGCCAATTTCGGGTCTTCAGATCCCAATTTCTTGCTCCAACTCGGTCATATAATATAATATATTATATGAAGAGTAAGTCATATAATCTAAAGCAGCATGAAGCATTTAACTTTTGCATCTTGATTTCTCAAGTACAACTTTGGCCCCATTTCAGGGATGACCTTAGCCTTAAATATATCAATCAAAACTTCCAAGCCAATTTCGGGTCTACAGATCCCAATTTCTTGCTCCAGCTCGGTCACCCTACATTAAACACTTCATTACAAACTTCAGAGTTTAGGGCTTGAGATATTGATTGTTGAGGTTTTTGGATCAACCATTGCATTAATATAGGCCCAGTTGACCACTCAGTCTTTAATGGTGGCCTAGCATTAGACACAAAGGCCAAATCATGGGAATTGATATTTCTTGTCTCAATATCTTGTAACTACAAAGACATAAGATGTCCCCATTTAAATATTACAAGAAAGGAAGATCTTTGTTAATTAATTTGATGAACCAAGTTCACATGCATGCCGGAATGCAACAGTAAGGCCCACCATAGAAAAAAATATGTATGACCTGTCAAGAGACATTATATTTTATGTCCTCATGGGTTTTTACACAATTTCAAAATCCCTACATAATTAGTTATTTTCCATAGAAACTTTGGTGACAAAATCCTGGAAAATGGAAGCAGATAAAAATGTATGATTGATTGTCATGCCTTTAAGATGCCAAAAACAAGAGAAAGTTAAAACAAGTTGTATTTTAATCAGCCAGCAGCCCAGCACTACTTCATCCAGTTGAATTGAATTAATTCCTGTTTTGCTTTTTGAAGGGTTGTGATGGCTCGGTGCTGTTGAAATCTGTAGGAAACAACCAAGCTGAAAAGGATGGCCCTCCTAACATTTCCTTGCATGCATTTTATGTCACTGACAATGCAAAGAAAGCAATAGAGTCAGTGTGCCCCGGTGTTGTCTCCTGTGCAGATATCTTGGCTCTAGCTGCAAGAGATGCAGTTGCTCTAGTAAGTCCAAACACCACACTGCTCGCTCTTTAATTGTTTTCTTCCTTCTTTCTTTCAGTTAAGGGTTGGTTAATTGAGGTTGGATTGAAGAATGAAACTTGAAACTGATTCTGTGTGGAATGCAGACTATGTAGGCAGGAGGAGTGTCTGTCCCGCACAGAACAAGGTAAACAATGCTGGTTCTACCATGGACTTTGGCTGATTAAAATACATATTATGTCTCGCACAAAACAGGAATTAAGTTAATTCAACTGCTCAGTTCTCAGGTTGTCTTTGAGCATTCAGCTTACCAGCATGGTGAACAGAGACTCATGAGTACCATTATTGGAATGGCACAAGATTATGTAGGCAGTAACAACATAAACCTTTTCCAACCAAATGGTCAATTTGGCACATGGCACCAGGTTTGGATGAATAAAAGTAAACCTTCCTTTAAGTTAATACCTCCATAAGTCCATTTTAATTACCTGAAATGTTTTCTCTTTCCAATTACAGGGAGCCAAAGATCATGCAAGTGCAAGGTACATCTATAACCGCCTGTCTCCCATCACAAGATTCCTTTTTCCCAAGGATGATGATATCCTCCTTGACTACTTGAATGAAGATTGGCAGTCCATTGAACCCACTTGGTAAGTTTTCTAAAAGATTAGGGAGGATAGGCAATTTAGGTTAAAGGTCTTGCAAATGGTAATACCCTTTTACCTTTCAGGTACATGCCAATTGTACCTATGGTTCTAGTTAATGTTAGTGAAGGAATTGGGACTGGGTGGAATTGAATGTTGAATTTAATGAGAGGGAATTGAATGGTTGAATATCTTAAATTTACCTTTTTTCAACTCTTTTAATATCAATAACCGATTACCCTTTTTCCCCTCATTTTTTATCAATAAATTTAAATATAGAAGGGTAAACTTTGTCCTCAAAAAATTTCAGAAATATTCTTGAGGTCATTCATAATTTTTAAAAGTAGTATAGATATTTAATTTAAATTCAATTTAAATGTGAACCACAAACTGTTACCTGGGTCAAATGGTTTAACAGTTTGACCGTCCAAGTTAGGGGTGAGCATAGTTTGGTTGAAACCGAATAATCAAACCGAAATTTCAGTTTCCGCTTGATCGGTTCAGTTAGTTCGGGTAAACGGTTTGGTTCGGTTTTAAATTTTGGTTTTATTAAGTTCGGTTTTCAATTTTGGGTATGCTATTTGGAGGTTCGGTTAGTCGAAAAGAAATTGGGCTTTTGGTCTTCTTGGTATATAATCTGGATTTCCTTTTCTTTACCTAGGTGGAGACAAAGTGTGCATTTGAGAAGAAAGTGATTCAGAGAATGGAACTGCTAGAGAAGGTCAGCAAGGACCCATGTCAAGAACCCGTGGTATCGAGATTACGTTGCATGACTTGCAGGACGTGTGGCATATGCATATTTGTTAGTAGGACGTGTGGCATATGCATATTTGTTAGCGATGGTGACGTCCTTCCCACGTGAAATCCATTGTCATTCTTTTCCAGTCACACATAACCGTGCCAAATTGTTTGAGCCAATGAACCCCTAGCACCATATCCAATCCGATTAGCGGTAAGAAATAAAGAGTTAGGGTGAATAGGGTACCTTGTAGCTACAATCTAATCGAACCTCCCCTGACACTTGAGAGGTGCACCATTGGCCACCTTCACATTAAAAGGTTCGGTTGGGATTGTTAGAAGTTGCAATAGCTCCGCAACTCTGTCGTTAATAAAATTGTGTGTCGACCCACTATCAATGAGCACAACTAGCTCATGGGAGCCGACTCTAGTCATAATTCTCATGGTGCGAGCAGTGGACCATCCCGTGAGAGCATGAAGCAAAATTTCGAGGCCTTCTTGTACCTCCTCATCCTCTTTTAGGTTTCCTTCTAACAGCAACAACTGCGGACCTTTACACTTGTGTCCAGGAACAAATTTCTCATCACATTTGAAGCAGAGTCCTTGTGCACGTCGTCTTTGCATCTCTTCCCATGATATCTGCTTCATTGATGAGGCTGTCTTAGGGTTGGTCGAAGTCGAACTCACCACAGCGGCAGTAGGAAGCCTAGTCACCTTCTTTTGCCGGCTTAATTAATCATCCTTCATCCTGGCTAGGCTAATGGCTTCTTTATGGGTCTTTGGCTTAAACATTCTAATCCCATCAGCAATTCCCGTCTTGAGGCCGCCCATAAACGTACCTACAACCTGTCTGTCGAATTTTGGATAAAGGTTCACCGAAATCTTCGCAATCTGTTGGTCCAAATTGCGACCACAGCTCATCTACAAAGACGTCCCACGTAACTTCTTTTCCTTCCTCTTGGTAAGCTCGATACAACCACTGCCACCATTGATCTGCTTCCTTTTCAAGATGGAAGGAGGCCAAGGGCACTTTCTGTAGCTCTGTAGTGCCTTGAAACCTGAAAAATTGCTCCGCCTTATTGAGCCATTCAATGGGATCTTCTCCTGCAAACTTGGGAGATTCCAGCCTTGTGAGTTTTGAAGAAAACATGGGGCGGTCTCCTCCTGCATGCTCACGACCTTGATCATTTGATGAATATCCACTTTGCTCAGAGACTTGGTTGGACTTGGGTTCCGGTTGTATCACGGCAGCTTCAGTGAGATTGCTGATCACAGCCTCCAGTCGCTGCAACTTCTCACAAAATCCCAGCTCCAAACGGATGAAACTTTCCTGCAAACTTCCAACACTTGACTCCAAACTCTCTATTCGCTCCTTATGGCTTCCCATCATAAACCTGGCTCTAATACCAAGCTGATAGATCTTCTTTTTAAGGCAAGAAAATAGCCTGTAATTTTATTTGATTTCAACTAATACCAGGTTTAAATACAAAAGCCATTCAACAATTTTTCCTAAACTCAAGGCCTCAACGTCCAGTGCTTCCTTAAGTTTAGCAACTCCCTATCCTATACTTTAGCAACACTCCTTGCCTATTCAACAGCAACTAACGCAACTATTGTGAGATATTTCCTCACTTATTTGACTACTTCTTATGCACCAACAGCTAACAAATATGCATATGCCACACGTCCTGCTAACAAATATGCATATGCCACACGTCCTGCAAGTCATGCAACGTCCTACTAACAACAACTAACAAATATGCATATGCCAAACGTCCTACTAACAAATATGCATATGCCACACGTCCTGCAAGTCATGCAACGTAATCTCGATATCATGGGTTCTTGACATGGGTCCTTGCTGACCTTCTCAACGTATCAGTGCTCTCCACGCTTCACTAGAAGATGAACCCCGTGACCCCACTCTCTTTCATCGATTACATCATAAGAAAGTTGGGATTGAAGAACCATCTGCACTAGAACTTCCTGAGGAGATGTAAGCAACTGCGACTATCATTGTCAGTAAGCAACTAAGCAAAGCGATTGAAGAGTTATCCTCTCTCTCTTTCGCAAAACAAGATTTCCCATTATTACACCAAGTATTAAAAAATGCCTTGCCATCTCCCTCTCTGAAACTTCTTGATAATAGAGAAACTCGAAAGGCCGAAACTCCTTCAATTGCAACGAATGGCGGTGCCAATGAAGCTCGACTCGGCTGGCCTCATGTAGCAGTCCATATGCTTTGACAAAGAAAAGAGTCGGGCACTCTCTGTTTCTTGGGGTTTCGCCATTCAGATATTTTGGGGTGTATTCTCACCCCGAGAGATTGAGATGCCTTCAAAAACTTTTCTCAATTGGTACGGGAAGGTTGACTACACTGCATAGTGCCTTCAACACTCACCCTGTCATTTGAAATCCGTGCCAAAAGCCCTTCATGTTTTACTTGTCTATGGAAAAATATGATTCCACCACAAAGAAGACAGTGAACGACTACCACCACCACCGAGTTCTACATCCAATATGCAGGTGGAAGATGACAGATCCCGAAGGTATTGAGAGAGTGATAATTTACAACTTACAAGAAAGCGTTGTGTGCACTTTCATTGAACTCACCCGAATCCAAATTCAGATTCCGAAATTGAAACCAAAGCAAATCATTTTCCAATGAAAGGGTAAGGCAGGGATTTTTGAAAAATATAACAATCACGTGATGATACATATGAATGGTTTATGACGGAGTATTAACGGTAAGTCGGTAAGGGAGGTTTTAGGCAATTGTCAGAAACAATAGGGGTGGTGCAAGACAATAGTTAAATAATAAGGTTATAGTTAGTCGATTAGCTAAACAGTAGGAATAGTTTATGAAATTTTCCCATTTTTTTCTATGCATAGACAAACACAACAATTCATTCTCTACTAAGACAGATTGGCTTCAAATCTCAGCAAAAACTATAAATTTTTGAAATATATAACAATCACGTGATGTCACATGTGAATAATTAGGTTTATGACGGAGCATTAATTGTTAGGGATGTTTTAGGCAATTGTCAGAAACAGTAGGGGCGTTGCAAGACAATAGTTAAGCAATAAGGGTATAGTTAGTCAATTAACTAAGCAGTAGGGATAGTTTAAGAAATTTGCCCATTTTTTTCTATACACCAACAAACACAACAATTCGTTCTCTAGTGAGACAGATTGGTGTCAAATCTTAGATCAAGTTTTGCTTAAGTCGATCCAAAGTTGTCTATTCCATAATATAAATACTCTTTTTTTTTAAACAAATATTAATAAAATACTATTAATTCTTTGTAAGAAGATGTGGGTTAAGTTGTCTCTTGTACTTAGGGTGTGTTTGGTTCGTGGACAAGACCGGAATTGGAATTGGAATCGGAATCAAAATCTCCTATTCCCGATGCTTGTTTGGTTCACTCAGGAATCAAAATCGGATTCTGATCATTTCTGTTTGGTTCAACTAGAAGCCGGAATCGTAATTACCCAAAAATTTCGATTCTTCCCCTGTTTAAAGAACATTAGAAAGAATCCACTTATTATATATTTTGAACACACACACTAGCAACATGCTAACAAGTGCATGTATAGAGAAAATATAAAGAAATGAAAAGAAAAAAATATATAAATATCACAAAAAAACATCCACCATAAATTTTTGTAAAATCATTATTCAGCTCTGCAAACATAAAAATCATTGTTCAGATATGTGTTTGTTATGCTAAACTTCCATATGCTGCATCGGTTTGGTCCATGTTGTGCTGATGAAGATTCTGAGTTTGCAGAAAAGAATTTTCTGAAGGAAGAAAATTAGGTTTCTGTTGGATTAATGTCTTTTAGTGTTTTTTCTTATGGTACTGGAGTTTCCTTAACTAGACAAGGTGCTATTGTAGAAGAAAAAGTTCCAGCGGGACTAACACTTGAGAATTGGGGGCCATGGAAGATCATTTCCACCTTCTGCTACCAGCATAAAAGGCCTTTTGATCATATTTCCGCATTCAGTCTTTGCTCCTGATACAGCAACAAAAGTGTCTATGCTTTGTCTCTATCTTCTATTTCCAGGAATTATAAGCAAAACTCATACATATCCTATTTTATGCTACCAAAAAGAATGATCCATAAAAGGAAAAGACTTGGGTAATTGAGACTCCATAGCTCTTACCATGAACCTCGGTAAGATGTTCCACTTTTAACTACAGGAAAAAAATTAAGACCGAGAAGTTGTTAGAATGTAACCTACCATTTAACACTATGGCCCTGTTCGCTTTTCGGTAAGTTATTTATCTGGGTAAATGTAGTTTACTTGAGTAAGTTTTTCCTGGGAAACACTTACCCGGGTAAGTGCATTTACCCATGTTTTTTTATTTCTCATGTAAATAAAGCAATGACCATTTTAGTCATAAAAAATCATTATTAAAAGGGCATTTTTGTCCCATTCAAGTTTTGGCAACTTTCCCTCTAAGTGGGAAAGTTATTTACCCACTTAAGAAATGGGTATTACTTACCCGGGTAAGTGATACCTAAGAAAATAAACTTTCCCTGGTCCCCACATAAATCTGAAAAAAGAACATGGGATTCTTGGTCAATGGGAACCAAAATCCCATTGAACCAACTTTCCTCCCTCTCAAAATCTGATAAAATAACGCCCCCTACAATGCAACTGCAAACACCAAACCTGTAATGATTTTCATCTGAGAATCAAGTTTCACTGTAACATCTAAACGATATATTCTCAAGGGTTTTCCCAACAGAGAATATTCCACCTCCATTACCTTGGTGATTTCTGCTAACTACATTGAGGCTACCAAAATTAGTAAGGTTCCAATCATATTTGTATCTGATAATGCTAAAAACATAGGTAGCAAACTCTCAAACATACAGTTATGGTTATTATCTTTCGCCTCTCATGGTCTTTTAGGTGACAGGGGAGATTTTGGAGATGGCATGGACTCATGAAACCAGGCGGACCTGATGCATCATCCAGTGCATTCAACAGAACTTGAAAATATAAGACAATATCACTAACAAATAAATTATATCACTAAATTTAAGCCATACATTGTTCTCCTAAAGTGCATCCTTAGATGGCTTAATCCTTTTACACAATTGAGCTTTAACGCAGAAGAAACCACTATTCTCCTTTTGATTTTTATTACTTACAAAGATGGTGCTTTGGTAAATTTGCCCAGCAACCCCTCGTTTAGCCTACAAGAGAGAAATAACAGCATTACAGAGGGTTAGCCCTTTGTTACACAACCATTTCACTAAATGATAGAAGAAATGAAAAAAAAAACTCATCATCCAAAAATATAGTTACACCTGTAGTGGACCTTCTAAGACCTTGGTAAAATCCCTGACAGATATTTTCATCATCTGCTTGTCCAATGCAAAATACTTTTTATCATTTGATACACAACCACTATAGTTTGGTCATAGATTTACAAGTTGGGTTCGGTCAGGAATTGTTAAATTTTCAATGGGCTTGAACTCTAATTCAAGCCCCATGTAGTTGAAATTCTTCAATCCGACTTGGAGCCCTATTTGGCTATGTGCAATGAAGACCAACAAAGAATATGACATGATGTACAAAGTATTTTGATTCTTGCAACATAAGCAAAATAGAACACTTACTTCACCAAACAACAAGAAAATACCAAAGACAACATGAACATCCAAGAAGGATTTGGATTAGAAAATCTACACAGAGAGCACCAAGTATTGCTTCTATCATCACAATCCTGTCCTACAACATTTAAAATTCCAGGGAAGAAAACTAGTTTGGAGTAAATAAGATGGTGGTTCCTTTAGTTATTGAACTGCATAGCTGATTAAAAGAAAAATAAATCCCAGACCCATCTCACTCGTATAAGTTCTTTTTTTGTTTATCCTTCAATTGACAAAGAAGGAGGAGACACATTTAGCTTCAATACAAGTCGTGTTCATACAAACCAATCAAGAAGGTGGAGGAACAGAAAATTACTCCTATAACTAGGATGAATAAGCCAAATGATTGGAGGTAACACTAGGATTTGGTAACACCTATGGTTTAAGAGGCCTAAGTAGTTAAAAATAAAATAATTTGAAGACAATTAATCAAAGAAGACTTAAAAACACAAGAACAAGGAATGAGTGAATACCCATCACCAACAATCAATCCAGATCAATCTAATTGAGACTACACGCAAATTTCCAAATTTAATTGACAAATATATAGTGGATTTCCTTGCCAGGATCATAATAACATGACTACTAACCAGAATGATCTACGTGCAGGACAATCGTAGATAGCTAAAAATCAAATCAAATCAAATACAAACAGAGACGAAGGTAAACATGGAAAAACATATCCAAATTGAAGAAGTCAATGGTTCTATCCAATGAAACCCCATATCTAAGAAGATTCAATTCGGTAATTCAAAACCCTAAATGGGTCTAGATAAGATTATCTAAAGAACGCTTCTGATCACAACAAGCACAATCAAACAAAGAGAAAATGGCCACTATAAAAAGTTGAAACAGAAAAGGTGGATCATTGACTGATGTACTGACTAGTGTGAAAAGCTCGTTAATGGTAGCAGTGAAGATGTAGATCGATACCGAATAGAGCAGGGGAGGATCTGCAAAAAATAAAAAACATATTTCAGTAAGTTGAAAAAAAAAAAAAAGGAAGATGGAGGAGGAAGAGGAAGAGGAGGCAAGGGAAGAAGAAGGAGATCCCGAATTAGAGCTTGGGCATTTGATTTGGAAGGAGGAGGGGAATGGTTCGGCAGCGGTCTTACCTCGCCGGAGGTCAGTTCAGTGACAGAAGATCATTTGGAGTTCTGCTCGCAGCCTCTGTTCGGTGACAGCTCTCTTTGTCTAGTGTTGAAAATGAAAGGGTTATTTTTGTCAAAAAAAAAACTGAAACCTTAAACGTTAAACGATAAACTGGAATGGCCATTCTCCCATACGGGGGATTCTCATTCTGCCTAGAGTGGGAATGGAATTTCCATTCCGTCAACCAAACACTTGAAATGGGAATGTGTGAAGTAAAATTTAGGAATAAAGAATATATATTTGTATTGCCTCAAAAATTTACATTGTCAATCGTTATGTACAAATGTGTAAAATTGAAGTAGAAATTAGTCTCAAATGGTAGTGAGACTACTTCAAATTCAAAACTAATTGACAAGTAGAGGTGGGTTAGGTTGTTGATGGAGAGATGAAGATGGCAGGCACCGACAAGTAGCTATGGAGATGATGTACTCCACAAAGACTGCATCGCAGGGCAACGTAATGGGCCCATCGCTTGGTAGACCAAACTCTTCTTCAGATATTCTGAGTAACTCTATAAAGATGGGGTTGCTTAGATAAGCCAAGGGAATGACAAAACGTCCATTATCAGCAGTATACACAACGAAATGGCCCTTAATCATCGGCCACCAATTCGCTGCACTTCTTCGGTGCATTGTAGCCCTTGCTGATGAAATCCTTCTCCTGCCGATGGCAGCCAACTTCTGCCATTTTCTTGCCATGGCAACGAGCTTCTTGTGATTGATCATGGCTGCCAAAGAGATCTAGACTTGGTCTGAGAACTCTGAGCCAGATTGATTGAGTTAGTGTGGATGGAGAAGGCAACATGGGGTAGGTCAGTTATATACAATTGTAAGAGGAGACACACCACGCAAGAGTAGCTTTCCTTGTCTTGGATTAGAGGATCAAGGATGGGATGGAAAATTGCAAAACCATACCATGCTGTGACCATTGGATTGATTTGAAAGAATACTGATCGCTGTTATGTTAATTAAGGAGGTGGGCCTGCTTGGATGTGGTTGAGTGATCATCCAGGCCCAAGGCATGCACCAGTAGCAGTTGGTAGGGCATCACATCCAAGCTGCCTAGCTACATTTTCTGGATATCTTTTTTACTGATAAATTGGTCAATTGGATAATTAACTAATTTTTTCATTTTTGAGTGTTAATATATTGGATAAAAGAAGATTATTTTGAAAAAGTATCAGTTCAATTAAACGGAATAGCTTACAGTGAACATTAGAATAAACAAACAGTGTTTGTATCTCAGCCTACACCTTATATATCGTCCATGCATCCTTTTCTTCCCTGAACATCCAACCTGAGTACGTAGCAGCAAGGTACGCTTATAATATGAGTGCATGGATGGATAATCTTCTTTCTTTCCTAATTCCTTTGATTGGTATCGGTGCTGCGCGCTCTGAAACTAGCGTCTCTAATGGGGTGACTAATCCATATTTGATCCACTTAATGAGATCAAATTTTTTGCAACCCAGTCCGACATGGAAGCATTCTATGTGTTTCTTTGTTGTTAAAGCTCAGTTTGCTCAGAGTAATATAATAGGGTTAAATATACAAATATATATATATATGTACGATGCAAAACCTTATATTAATTTATTGTATTAAATATTATTTTGTACTCTTCCGAACTGAGCATAACCGTTTTAACAAAACATACTTCCAACTTATTAATTTACTGCCATCTCATTTCAAAATTAGTGTATATATCATCCATCGGCTGCTGTTAGCAGTAGAAGAACACGTATACATATATGAAACAACAACAAAATCTTTAATCCAGTTCCGTAGATATTACATATTTTGTATCGTCGTTTGTTAATTTCTTTTACTTCGGCCCCAACTTTCTCAGTTTAGTTCTCTTGGATTTATTATTTAGATAACAGTCTTCCCATGTGCTTTGCATCCTCTTCCTTATCCCAGTGATGCGACCAAAATTATTGGCTACGTATACAGCAGATGTCGGTATTCACATGAGCATGAAAACCTTTGCCAGGTCGACTCGGAACTCAGTGGACTCCATTCTGACCTCAGTTTCAGGTCCACGTGGTGGTGTTTAACAACTCATGACATCGGCTATTTATTTGGGTTTTAGTACATGTACTTCACTATTATGGGGATTATGGTGGGATATTAAAAAAAATGGAAAAATCTCAATTGGGACACCTCTATAATGGTACAACGACATTTTATCAAGGTAATATAAGGCTCATGCACTTGCGATGAGCATAAATCGTCATCTGAGACTTACGATGAATATAAAATATCTCATCGGACCTACACGTCACCTAAGACTTGCGACAAACATAAAATGATATCGCAAGTCCGAGATTAGTCCAATGCACTATCAACACCTTGCGATGAGAATGAAATAGCAACTCCCGTTGTAACGAACGGATGATAGACCCCGAGGTTGGTGACCCCTTCCTATGGGAGATTGGCATTCCTACTATTAACAATTAACTGTGACAAGACGCTTCAGAGGCAAAATCCTAATGGTACTCTCTTAATAGTCGACATAAAGATAAAGATTCCCTTTCTTAATAGAAAATGTCTGCTTTTAATTAGAGATCCTTATCCTTATAGTCTTGGAGTATTCTCTCTCTACCAAAATTTTATAGTGATTTGTAATGGAATTAGTATAGGATTTGTGCGGTTCAAATTTGATTCTTATTCAGCTTATGAGTCCAACCCAAATAAATACAAAGAGTTATATTTTGGGGGGCTTTCTCTTATATACAGTCTTAAAAAGAAAAATTGAGCGACTTAGATGAATTTGGAGTTTAGCATTTTTGTGAGAGAGAATGAATATGCAAAGTTCTATATTAATTATTCACCATTGTTAATTCTATAGTGAATTAACTTAAGTTATAAGCCAAACCATTTAAATCTGTGTACGTGCTCTCTCTTTCTTTTATCTCTGTTTTCTATTCATTTTTGGATAATATGTAGTCTTGGATTTTGTGTAACATTCTTCAATTGTACCACAAATTAAAATTTCGTCTTGATGCATGCGTTGGTTCTTTCTTTTAGTGCATCCTGGCTTCATCCGTTTTAATTACAACGACCATACTTCCAAATATCTACAACATACCAAAAGAAATATGCTCCATGTTAATTTTTTTGTATATATTGAAGAATAAATGTTTATATATATTGGATCAAAACTGTGCCGGATTAATTATATTTACAGAAGTATAAGAAGGCTGAAAACACTAAAGCTATTTATTAAAAGCCATGGAGAAGTGTTTGTTGCTGCGTTTGGCCTTGAGAAATAGAAGAAGAAGAAGAAGAAGAAGCAAAGCAGCGTCCTGTGGCCAAGGATGTAATCAAACTATTCTCCAAGTGTTGAGGCACTCTTCGACGAAGCAAGGATATAACGTATTCCATGAAAACTGCATCGCATGGCAATGTGATGGGGCCTTCTCCCGGTAGTCCAAACTCCTCTTCGGACATCCTGAAGAGTTGTCTGATGATGTTGTTGTTGAGATACGCCAAGGGAACCACAAATCGCTTCTTATCGACTGTGTATACAACGAAGTGGCCTTTGCTAGCTACTGGCTGTTTGGGGTTATTATAACAAGCCTCCCCATCTGCGCTGCTTCTGCCCAGTGAGAGTCTTCTCCGCCCAATGGCAGCTGCCTTCTGCCACTTCTTTGCCATCGCAAGGAGCTTCTTGGTGCTGATCATTGCTGGAAATTGGAAATTTTCTTACTGAATATAATAGCAAAACAAACAAGGAAACAGATTTAGGATGTGGCCGGGTTTAATTGGACTTGGGTGTGGATGACTGACCTAATTCAGACTGACCGTGTGTGTATATATATATATATATATATGTTTTCAAGTGAAGGAATCAATTAATTATCTACTTCCTGAGTACCAATCACGATGGTTGTGTCTAGCTGCATGAGATGAGGGGCACCATCCTAGGTGCATGTGCTTGCATAAGTTGTTATATTGGACTGTAGCGATGCGCTTGGTGCGTAGTGGGTTTAATTTGTCTTTGGAAACCCATATCTGTTGGCCAATGAGACGTGAGGGAAGAATTCAGAAGACAAGCGAAGAGTATGAGTGTGTGAGTGCAGTGAAGAGGGTCCCTTTTAATTTGGATTATGCCGAATCTGGTCCGGTCGAGCCACATGTTTGGTATTCAATCTCAACCTCATCAGGCTCAGGCGCTATAATACCTGGAGAAGAAGAAGAATGGAAACAAGTATATGTTTTGTTGGTCAGATTTTCGCTTAAAGCTCGACACACGCACATTCTTATGTCTTATTACTGAACCCAGCCTGTCTTCGACTTCCGACATAATCAGGTATTCATGTGCTGGAAGAAGCTTAGATGTTTATAATCTGTTCATCTGGTTCTGGCCTGGTAGTAGTGGTAGGTAGCAGATGATGATCAACTTAAACAAAGCAATGCAATGGTTGGACGCAGCCAAATTGTTAGCTAGGTTCGTCACTTTCTAGTTTCTAAGCCGCTGCACGAGTCAGAGTTGGTTGGTTAGACACAGCCTGCCTACAAAGTTGCCTACAAAATGCCATTGCTTGTACTGCATTGTCCTATAACATTTCTAGGGGGACGTCCACGGTTCTGTGATAAAAAGTATTTAAATAAGAAAACATATTTTTTACAAGTTTCCCTTAATCACTTATTTTCTTACGCACCAAATACAATACAGCTATGTCTGTGCCTCCAATTCTTTATTGCTTAACTCAAAGGTAAATTTTCGTAGTGTTTGTAATGGAAACATAGAGTTTGGGACTTGGCCGTAGTGGCGGAGTCCTTGCAGTGGTACGGATCCAATCTATAGTCAATTTATGGACTCAACCCGAATATGAAAAGTTATGTAGTTTAGGGTTTTCTTTTATATTCATCTTTTTGACTTGAGAGACAAGTAGAAATGTAGGTGTATTTTGGAATTTAGGGTTTTATGAAGCGAGGAGTTGTGTACATTTTTTTACTCTTTACCATTGTTGATGTTATAGTGATTTTAATTTGCTCCTTCGCTCGGGGACCTAAATCTGTGTGTGCTCTGTTCTTGTTTCTCTTTGTTTTTTACTTCATTTTATTATGCCATTCGAATCTGTATTTTTGGGTTTTGTGCAACATAGGCTTTGATGAATGAACTCATATATTGAAGGAACTAATTGTAATGTGATTAACATTGTAGATGCATTTGGACATTTTGACTAATCAATGGTGTAAAAGTAAACAAAGTGCCTTTACTAATCAATGGGCTGGGTCTAGCCGGCTAGTTTGTGTCCTGATTAATAACTGGATTAGGACCGGTGCTTGCTGTTTCAAACCGGTTATATGATTAACAATGTATAAATGCTTTTTAGTTTTTATGAATTTTTTTTATAAGTGAGTAAATTTCATGGACAGCTTATAAGATAATTTTGGTTCAAATGCTTGTTTTATTGACATATAAATGGTTTATTATTTTACTATTATATTGTCATTTTAATATAAAAATGAAGTTTCTAAATTGTTTTTTATCATAGAAATTATAATAGGATTTAATAGGGTGAGACATGATTATCCCAATTAATAATTGGTTCAGTTTTGAGTCTATAGAGAATATTAGTAGTACTGCTAGTGCTAAGACCCGATTGAAACAGATTTTCCAAAAATTTGTATTAAGAGTACTTTGTGATTGGAGGCACTAGTGCTTGAAAGGTGAAGTGATTATGTATTAAGAGTACTTTGTGGTTATATAAAATTATCAAAAATTTGTATTGATAAATTCAAAACGTAAAAACCGCAATGATACCAAATATAACTGATGCTGTACGATTTGGGCACTCCTAGCTAGTTGTGACCTGTCTTCTGGAACAAGCAGCACCTAAGAGGAAGGAGGAAGTGAAGGGTTCCCAGGGAGATATCCCGGTGGGAACACTCCGATATTGAAGGAAATCTCAAAGAGAATAGAGAGTAAGAGTGCTCCAAGTGCTTAAACTTCAATACCTTTTCTCTGTGTGGGTTTGGGTTCTTTTATGTTGGAGTCATGTCATACCTGTAATAACCGCCCTCGCCCTTGTTGTTACTGCCAGGGCAGGTGTGGCAGGCACAGGTTACCGCAACAAACTGCCATTGCCAAGTACAGGCCTAACAGACGTGTCATGCCCTCCAGAGGAGGCAAACAGAGCGCCGCCTGGCGAGAGATCAGAGCCCTGCCACTGGGTTTGGTGGGTATGGATATCAGGCAGGGCTCCCCACAGCTTACCGAGCTACTACACACCGGACTGTCTAGGGCAGGTTTGTCCTTGTACCGAGGTGCCGAGATGCCGGCACTGGGGGAGGGAGGACGATGCTGCCCCGAGGTGTAGTCGGGACAGTTAATCACGAGCCAGGGTCATGTACTGCCCTGAGCTTCGGACCCCTTAGGGGGAGCTCGGGCCCCTAGGAGAGCTCGGGACCTTCCATACTTGGTGGGAGACAAAATTGGCCAGGCGTCGGTCCCCGGCGAGTTGCTTAACTCGCCAAGTGGCCAGCGTTGGACTTGGCGTGTTTCTCCCGTCGAGTTGCAGTCTTGTTGTCAGGTTGAGCTGTACACTGGGCCAGGTCATGTACACGTGTCCCCGAGCTATGAGGTCGGGCCAAATTACCCTTCATCAATTTCCCCCCACTCCCCGTGTTGGGGGTGGCGACCCAGCGCGGAGAGTTCATGACGCGCCGAGTGGATTTGGCTTGGTTCTCGTGCCATTTTGTCGGGTGGCTCGTTGGCCGGACCGCTCCAGTACTCGGTTCGTTCAAAAGGAAAACCTGGGTCACGTACAACTTACGCGCGGACGTTACGCGATCTGGACTTCGCGGACGCCAAAAAACGCGCTAAACAGATTTCGCCTTGAGAGTCCCGCAGTCGGTTTTCTTGAGGACCATTAGATCGCTTCGAACCTGGCCGTTGGCGCACGGGCCCATCGGCTATAAATATCAGGGGACCTTGGTCATTTTCTTTCGCCGCTAAGTACCTTTCGTCTATTGTAAGCTCGCGTCTGGGGTCTTCAGCTCGGGTCTCCTAGTCCGGTTGCATCGTTTTCCTGGTGAGTCCCTGAGTTTCCCTTTCTCCTTTTTTCCTCAGTTCATTTCCTTCCATGTCTAGTGGGGTCAGTCTTTTAAACAAACCCGAGGTGGGTACCTCGGGTCGGGGTGACCCTGTCGTCGCACGTCCTTCCCACGAGGCTCAGGTGACCTCGGGCAAACTGGCATCTACCTCTCGTCGAGGTCGGGTGCCGGACCAGTTCGTTCCATCCATCATGACATAGGAGAGGCTTCAACACCTCATCCAGCAATTCAATCTACCCCAGGAGTACTCGTACAGTCTTCCCACCGGCAACTTCCCTAGGGAGCACGGTCCAGATGAGATCATGATCTTTAGGGAACAACTAGTTGGCGGGCTTCGTCTCCCACTCCACCGCCTTATTCCTGAGGTGTTGAGGCACTTCAGCATCACGCTGGACCAACTCCACCCCAATTCTATTCGGAACTTGGTCAGGACTACCTCCCTCTACTTCGAGCAAAACTTTTCTCTGGACGCAGATATCCTCTACTCCATCCTGCTAATAAAAAAGAGTGCCTCTGGCACTCCACCCGAGCATGGGCAAACCTACTCCCTGTCCCCTCGCCCAGGCTTCAAAATGCTACACAAGTTCCCAAGCAAGGTCCCGACCTGGAAGCGGGACTACTTTGTAGTCCGGAGCAGCACGAAGTGGCCATTCCTTACCAACTGGAGGGTGGCCACTCAAGCTCCTAGCATTGCTCTTAACCAGAAGACGTGGGAGACCTTTCATTCATGGGCTCAGACTAGGTTCGATCACAGGGACTACATTGCTGACGAAAAGCTCATTCAGAACGGTTTGAGCCCGGGTAGGTCGATCTCCACCTTAGCGTTTTGTTCAATCCGCCTAGTGTCTTCGAATTTTATTGACGCCGAGCTCTGTTGCAGGTCCTATGGAGGAAGAGAGGATACCGGTCTGAGGCTCCTCTGTCAGATGAAGAAGAGAAAGAAGCGGGCTGCCAAGAAGGCACGCGTGGAACCCTCAAGAACCCCTACCCCTGAACCCAATCTCCCGCAGGTCCCCTCCTCGGGGCCCGAACTCCCTAATACCCCCCCCCCCCGTGATAGACTTGGAGGGGGACCTACCACCTTGGGGGCCTAAAACGACGGCAGAGTTGATTGTTGAGCCAGTTGGGGCTGCCGCTGAAGTCCCAAATCCCACCGGGGCTACTGCCGAGGTTTCCAAGGGATCGGCCCATCGTGCCGCAGATACGGCGGCGTCCAGCTCGGGGACTGAGGAGGAGGCAAAGAGCATTATGAATCCCGATATCAGCCTTGAAAGAAGTAAGGGGGCTGTTATCACCGCGAAGGTTGTGGATTGGGCTGAACTCTCTCCTGGTCAGCTCGGGGCCCGCGCTGCAACCCATGCCATGGTGATGAGTTCACTCCCTAATAGCCACCTCTCTCTCTCCCTTCTTTCCTTCCTCTTTCTTTAGTACTAACCAACCCCCTTCTGCCAGGTGAACACTGCTATGCACGCGTTGACCTTACAGTCTGACAAACACTTGAGGCATGCTCTGGCTGCTGAGGAGTCATCTCGCGCGGCTCACACGGAGATGAGGGCAGCTTGGGGCAAGATTCACGATTTGGAAAGTGACGCTACTGCCCATAAGAGCTCTATCGAAGC